CTTTGATCTACATGTAATCAAAGCTATTCAAACTTTTGACTGTCTGAGCATCAACTTTATGGGTCAACTACCTTTCTCATCATGCAACAAGTATTTGCTAACCATCATAGATAAATTTCCCAGATTCAGTTTTGCCTACCCATGCTCAGACATGGAACTTAAAACTGTAAATCACAGCCTGTCCAACCTATTCTCCATATTTGGCATGTTTGCTTATATCCATAGTGACAGGGAATCCTCATTTCTTTCACAAGAAACAAAAACATTTCTACACAATTATGGAGTTGTTTCCAGTAGAACTACTCCCTATAATTTAGGAGTAATGGCAAAGTAAAAAGGTACAATGGTGTCATCTGGCAGTCAATCCTTCTGTCATTAAAAACAAAGAATCTTCCAGAGTCATGTTGGGAAAAAGTCTTATCTGAAGCTTTGCATGCTAATTGTTCATTGTTGTGCATGGCAACTAACTTCATGCCACATAAATGAATATTCAATTTCAGCAGACAATCAGCCAATGGGACCACCTTACCTGCATGGCTAAGTCACCCTGGTAAAATACTGATGAAATGATAACCCCAGAATAGTAAGCATGAACCACTGGTTGATGAAGTGGAGCTCCTAGAAGCAAACCCACAGTATGTCCACATCAAGAAATTAGATGGTAGGGAGGCTATTGTCTCACTTAAACATCTAGCCCCAAAATGGTCTGGAGACATCAACCTTGCTGTATTACCAGAGGTTCACATTATCATGGAATTACTAATATCAACCTAGCATGGAAATCAGTCCCCTAAAGACAGTGTTCATGAATTGTCTATTCAACAAACTATGAATGATTCTGTGAAAGGACATATGCTGCCCACAAATACTGTCCACAAATGCTGCATTGATCTAGTTGAGTCACATGCCCACAATCACTTAGACCTTTAAGGATACAATTTTATTTATTTGTATTTTTAATCACAATGCATTACAACCATTTTCTTTTCCAATGCAGCAAAGATTGTGGTAAAATGATATTATTATTATTATTATTATATTTGTCTACACTTATTAAGGGATTATTTCCCCTTCATAGAAAAGTTTTAAAAATTGCCATCTTTATTTACACCTCATGTGTCCTTTTAAGTTGAATAAAACCTGAATCACCCAAAGGTATTTTCTTCAGTCTTGTCTTTCACAACAAAACTAATAAGAAGAATAGATAACATTACATTAAAATAGTTACCTTATTATAATTAATGACACATTTAGGAACTTGATATTTAGCCCTTATTACTTTGTACAATCCTTATCATACCAGAGGTTAATAGACATTTTATTGATACTATAAGAGCTCAAGTGAGAACTGAGAACATTCTTGAACACATATAAAATTTTAAAAAATGTTCATAGGTAAATTCTCTTTCAAAAAACTTGGTTTAAGAGTTTTAAAAAACAAAATGAGATATTTTTCACCAATTTTATTAAATGGTTTTAGCCTACAAGTTTTTGTCACAAATTCTATGCTAACAGATTCTTTTCTCATATTTCTTGCTTGTAGAATTCCCTTCTGGCTCCATGCTTTCCAGCCAACTTTAATCTGCAATTTAAATGCAATCTCAATCGCTATCTACTGTTCTCTTGATTACTCCTGTTTCTTTCTGCTCAGCATTATTGTTTCTGTTCTTAATTCTTCCATACCTTGTAACTCCTTGTGATTTAGTGGCTTGGTGTGATACCGATTAAAAAAAAAACCCCAAAAACTATATAATCTCGTTACTACAAGGTATAATACTTTTATAAAGAAAACCTGAGGTGTCCCCTTCTCTTTTAGTACCCAAAACATGTATTTATTTTGCATAATGATTAATCCATCCTTGTATACGAATGTAAAAACTTAAGAGAATGACACGATTACAGTGAATGTAATTGATATACAAGGAAAAATTCTCACAAAATACAAAGACATTAAGAGAAATCATAAGGTTGTGAATAGGAATAATGTCTGTAATTCTGATGTTGAGTAGCTTCATTTCTCATCAGGGCTCAAGAGATTTGCCTTGATTGAATTCAATGTCTGTGTAAATCTATTTTTCATCCATTCTCAGTTTATATTGCAATGTAATCTTCTGTAATTAGTTCTTATATGATTTCTACAAAAGTTTCCAAGTTTTAGTGCCATGAAAGTAAGCCAGATTTAATATTGTGTGGGCAAGTTGGTTCAAGCTGATTTAATTAAAAACTTCACAATATCTTTAGTTTAATTAAAAGTATTTTTTCTGGTGAGAATGTCTGATTATAGCTTTCAAATCTGTTACACTGTCTTCTTGTCTATTAATACACTCTAGAAATAAATTATTCCATTGCTTCCATTTTCCATTCTCTGTAATTTCTCTTCTCACATTTTGTTGTTTTAATGGATAGGAAACAAACAAAAATAATCATGTTATGGTGTATTAAAAGTATTTTCATTTTTTACAAAACTCTATTTGAAAGCTTATTTCATGTATTATTGTTTTCATGTATTATTGACTTTTTTTTTTTACAGTTTATCAACATTTTTGCAGGTTATTTAAAGCCAGAACATATTTGAGATTGTAAGAATTTTTTGGACATAATAATGATTAACTGATACATCATACTAATTAACCCACAGGTGAGGGGAGAAGAGGTGGAATCATACATTTTCCAAAGGAATATAATAAGCTCAACTGAAATTTAAACCTGGCTCTCCAATTTCCAGTTACAAGCTGTTATCTTTTATACCACACACACTTATAACAACTGATATCTCTAAGTGGTACCCATCTAGGTACTGACCAGGTTCAATATTACTTAACTTTAGTGATCATATGAGAACCAATGTTTCAATATGATATGGCCATAATCTGCCTGAGCAAAAAGGGAGTCAAAATAAAATTCCAATGATCGTACTGTACAAAACTGGTTTATTAAAAATAAGAACTAGTCAAGATATCCCTACACATGGGCAGTGGAACAAGAACAGTCTAGCCCTATACATTAAATAAAGGGTTCATTTCTGAATTCCCTGTAGGTTACACAAAGTGATATATACACCTGAAGAAGGTCAGAGGGCACAATAGCCAAAACATTGTAATACCAACAACAAAGATGAGGACAGTAGTCCAAATGTAAATAGTGTAAATAATGTTAACCTGTCATACCAGAAATTCAGACAGAAAAGACCAAGAATTAGGCAACCATCAAAAATTATGTTTTAAGGTATAGGTGAACCTGAAGTCAGCAGTGTAAATCTTTCAGAATAGCTAGAATCAGCAAAAGATACCATATGTAGAGTATTATATAAGCTTCAACAAACATAAAATTAACTAAAAAATAAAAACACCAAACTCAAATAAAATAAAAAATCTACTTCTGCACTATGTCCCTTATATCCAATCTCCCATTTATAAAGAGAATTAGTTCTTTAAACTGTATATCAAAAATATTTGATATCATATTTTAGGCTAGAATAATGAGTTTTTACAGAAACATCAACTCTTAACTTTCAATATTCAATATTGTTGTTTAAAAATAATGTTAATGAAGTGATATGTAAGTGAGGTACTGTATAAAAGGCAGTATTGGTATACCTATGGGAAAGTTATCTTCTCTTGACAAGACGACATCTGTCAGAGAGAATACCTATCATAACAATATGGCGTCACTGATCAGTTACTTAACCACAATTGAGGATCCTGAATATATTGAAACCTGGCTTAGGTGTTTTGCAGCATCAATGGATTGAAAAAGTTAAAGTACACCAAAGTTAGTGGAGGAAGAAATGAATTTATGGATTTATTTTTGGCTTCAGTGGGGTGTGAGGCCATAAAAAATTCTCCATCATGGTCTATCTCAAAGTGTTGGAAGATTTAGCATATAAAGAAATTGTGGCCATCATAAAATAGCACAGGTATGACAATTAATCATGATAAATGTGAGTATAATTGTGAAAAAATTTTGTACCTAAGATATCAAATATCTAAAGATGGTATATTGCTGGATGTTAAACTCATTAATAAGATATCAGAGATAGCTGCACCCAGAAATAGAATCTTTTTTAGGATTAACCAATTTCTACAACAGATATCTGTTACAATATAGTGACATTGTGGAACCATTTAATGAAATAAGGAAGAAAAATACTGAGTTTCACTAGACAAAAAGACAGGAGGTGCTTCTGAGAAATTAGAAAAAGGCATTCATAAACCAAGCAGTTGTTAAAATTTTTGACCCAGCAAAAAAAATTGATGTTAACTACTAATGCCAGTGACTGCACTATAGACATAATATTCTCACAGCAGGATCACCCTGTAATGTACTTATCCAGAAAACTAACATCAGTGGAGGTGAATTATTCGAATATTGAGAAGGAGGCACTGGCAATTGTGAGGAGAATAGAAAGAGCTAGAAATTTTTTGCTAGGAAGGAAATTTCTATTAAAATCTGATCATAAGCCTTTGGACTTTATATTCAATCCCAGAAGAGAGTTGCCAAAGGTCACATCTGCCAGGATATTAAGATGGCTGATTAAGCTTATGACATTTGACTTTGACATCGTATATATATATAAAGGAAATACTATTCCGCATGTGAATGTATTATCTTTGTTAAATTTTGAGAGTAAAAATGTTGGATCAAATGGAAATTGTGAGGATAGGATTTTGTACAGGATAAAAACAGACCACCAGAAATATGAAAGTAAAGAACAGGAGAGTGGAGGAGAGAATAAGTGTATCTAGTAGTAGGGATGGACAATCTGAGAATAAGTGTAGGTAGTAGTAGGGATGGACAATCTGAGAATAAGTGTAGGTAGTAGTAGGGATGGACAATCTGAGAATAAGTGTAGCTAGTAGTAGGGATGGACAATCTGAGAATAAGTGTAGGTAGTAGTAGGGATGGACAATCTGAGAATAAGTGTAGCTAGTAGTAGGGATGGACAATCTGAGAATAAGTGTATCTAGTAGTAGGGATGGACAATCTGAGAATAAGTGTATCTAGTAGTAGGGATGGACAATCTGAGAATAAGTGTAGGTAGTAGTAGGGATGGACAATCTGAGAATAAGTGTAGCTAGTAGTAGGGATGGACAATCTGAGAATAAGTGTAGGTAGTAGTAGGGATGGACAATCTGAGAATAAGTGTAGGTAGTAGTAGGGATGGACAATCTGAGAATAAGTGTAGCTAGTAGTAGGGATGGACAATCTGAGAATAAGTGTAGGTAGTAGTAGGGATGGACAATCTGAGAATAAGTGTATCTAGTAGTAGGGATGGACAATCTGAGAATAAGTGTAGGTAGTAGTAGGGATGGACAATCTGAGAATAAGTGTAGCTAGTAGTAGGGATGGACAATCTGAGAATAAGTGTAGGTAGTAGTAGGGATGGACAATCTGAGAATAAGTGTAGCTAGTAGTAGGGATGGACAATCTGAGAATAAGTGTATCTAGTAGTAGGGATGGACAATCTGAGAATAAGTGTAGCTAGTAGTAGGGATGGACAATCTGAGAATAAGTGTAGGTAGTAGTAGGGATGGACAATCTGAGAATAAGTGTATCTAGTAGTAGGGATGGACAATCTGAGAATAAGTGTAGGTAGTAGTAGGGATGGACAATCTGAGAATAAGTGTAGCTAGTAGTAGGGATGGACAATCTGAGAATAAGTGTAGGTAGTAGTAGGGATGGACAATCTGAGAATAAGTGTATCTAGTAGTAGGGATGGACAATCTGAGAATAAGTGTAGGTAGTAGTAGGGATGGACAATCTGAGAATAAGTGTAGCTAGTAGTAGGGATGGACAATCTGAGAATAAGTGTAGGTAGTAGTAGGGATGGACAATCTGAGAATAAGTGTAGCTAGTAGTAGGGATGGACAATCTGAGAATAAGTGTAGCTAGTAGGGATGGACAATCTGAGAATAAGTGTATCTAGTAGTAGGGATGGACAATCTGAGAATAAGTGTATCTAGTAGTAGGGATGGACAATCTGAGAATAAGTGTAGGTAGTAGTAGGGATGGACAATCTGAGAATAAGTGTAGGTAGTAGTAGGGATGGACAATCTGAGAATAAGTGTAGGTAGTAGTAGAGATGGACAATCTGAGAATAAGTGTATCTAGTAGTAGGGATGGACAATCTGAGAATAAGTGTATCTAGTAGTAGGGATGGACAATCTGAGAATAAGTGTATCTAGTAGTAGGGATGGACAATCTGAGAATAAGTGTATCTAGTAGTAGGGATGGACAATCTGAGAATAAGTGTATCTAGTATTAGGGATGGACAATCTGAGGATGATGATTCAAATGAGGAGAATTAGTTAAGACTTAGATGTCCAACAAAAAGAAATAAAGTGATTCAACTCTGAGAGACTGATTATGTTTTCTTCAGGGTTGTTTGTAGAAGTCAAAATTCAACTAAAAGTATAAAGCCTCTTAAATTTAGGGAGGTGTAGTGATGTGCAAATGATACTGTATAAAAGACAGTATGACTATACCAAACAGGAGTTATCTTCTCTTGACGAGACTACATCTGCCAGAGAGAATACCTATCATAGCAGTTAATAATATTCTAAATATGTTTTCATTTTATTTATAAGCATTGTAAAATGAAATGTATACTGATTCATACATTTCTTCTGCCAGTTTCATTTTAAATTTTGTTCCTGTTATTGAAGAAATGTTTTATGTCTACGTAAGGCAACATGTGTGCATGTTTCTGCTCATCTATACATAAGTATGCTTATGGATGGAGAGAAAACATATTACACAATTCTGGTGGGTGACTTTAATCTAAAATTAGGGAAAAGAAAATTTCAAAGAGAAAAAAGAGAAAATAAATATTGGTTAACTTCTCAGAGAGATAAAAAATGATAAATATGAAAATGAAAATGATTTTTAAAAACTGGAAAGGTTGTAAATAGAATTGGAAAAGCCCAAATTAGGAAACTAAAATGAAATTGATCCTAGAATTGCTGACAAAGTCAATTCCATTACAGATATAAACACCATAAACAAATTTAATATGGGAAGTGACCATAGAATGGTAACTTAAATTTTAGTTTAAAACTGAGAGACACAAAATTATTTTCAGAAATATGTGTCTAAATAAGATCACAGATAATGTCACTGAACTTCAGGTAAAAATAATGAACACATTCTAAGCTTTGTGCAAAATAACAGAAAATATGAACAACAAATTGACAAATATAATTAAGAAAGCAGTTGAGATAAAAGAAAAAGCAATCAGAATAGCAATGAGGCAAGTAAATATTTAAAGTCAACAATAGAACTGATGAATAAAAAGATAAATATTGACATAGAAACTAAGAGATAAAATTGAAAGTGCAGAATGAAACAAACAAATGAAGGAAAAATGAGGGAAGAAAAAATATGGAAGCTATCAGAAAAAAGATTAGCTTAAAATATATTCAATTTGTAGTAGACATAGATAAAAAAAATAAATGCTTGCTCTGAAAGACAGAAATGGGAAAGTCACTAAAAACAAGAATGAAATATATAGATTCTCAAGTATATATGGTCATTTAAAAGAAAATGCCAAATCCCTTTAGCTGTGGCTCTCTGAAGATTCATTTTCTTTATTATCTGTGAACTGTAATGACTTCTTGGGAAAGATAGTGGAGTGGTTTCTTGTTGCATTTTACATAGAGTAGTTTTTCTTTTAGACTGGTTTCCATCCAAGGTTTAAGTGCCTTGTCTGTCCTGCTAGCTGGTGAGAGAAATGGCTTTATACCTTTCCTAATGGTATGAGTGCAAAGCAAACACAACAGACGAAGACAAAATATGAACTTGTTTTGTAAATTCCACTTTCTGTGCTACTAACCACTACCAAAGCTAGTCAAACCAAAGAGTAAGTAACTCTGAAATGGTTACGGCAACCATTTATATGTTAGATACATGTTAATCTTTTCTTTAGCAATTTAGTGAAATCCTAATATGTCTATCATACTCTTGGAGTTCAAAGTTTCAGCTCATTCCTTCTGATAGTTTAATTGTTTATACAGTCAAAATATAGAGTCTTCTTTATTTAAAGCATTTTAATTTAAATAATTTAGTTTTTAATCTAACAAAAGTAAGGGGCCAATGATAATATGTTTGATCTCTAATATTTACTCTTGAATGTAGAATATCAAACCACTACCACTTTCCTCTCTGGTGATTTGGGTCTCATGTAAATTCATAAATCAAACAAATTCATACAGTAAACTCATTCTACTAATAGTAAGTGCATATATACATACATACATATATATATATATATATATATATATATATATATATATATTATAGTGCAAAAGTTTGAGGAAATCCCTTTTTAAACTGTCCTAATAATTAGTTGCTGTGTACATTAAATAATAGAAAATTATTATACATGGTTAAAATGTGAGACATGATTTTTTATTAGAAATTTTATTATGACAAAAAGAAAAAAAAGCATCTTAAGATTAAATTTAGATCTCATCAAAATCACCTACTTTACCTTTGTTTACTGCGGCCCAAATTTTTGATATTCATTGCAAAAGTTTCTCAAAGCATAAGTTTAATAATTGATTTGATTCCATTCTTTTTTTAATGACACTAAGAGCTCTTTTTCATTTTTTTTTCACTCTTCTGTCAAGTCATAACATACTAATTTTGTGGATGGTTTCAAATTTTTGAACTTTAATATATATATATATGTGTGTGTGTGTGTGTGTGTGTGTGTGATTTAAATTCTGTATATGAACAGAAATATTTTTCCTGTTAATGCAAAAAGTTTTTGTGACAAATAAAACAGAACACAACCATATATATATATATATATATATATATATATATATATATATATATATATATATTTTGAACAATAAGAAAATAAAAAATTAAAAAATTAAAATCATTAGACACACTGGGTTGTAGATTAATATTCTTTCGTTTTTTTATTATTATTATTCCATTTAGATTCCTCGACTAGTTTCGACGGAAATGGCCATCATCGGGAGGAGAAATATTTCTGCTTATATCTATATATATATATATATATATATATATATAAAGAGAGGGAGAGAGAAAGAGAAAGAGAGAAAGTAGAATAATATATTTTGATTCATAGAGTTTGTGAGAATTGTCTATTCAGGCAATCTGGTTGAAAAATTAAGGGGAATAAATATTACATAAACTTATGTCTAGTGTACATGTTAAATCCCTTTTCACAAACATTCTCATTAACAAATGCTTAAATCTTTTTAAAAAGCCTCTAACACAATAAAAATAAACCTCTCCTTACCAATAGTTAATCTGCCATCTCATCACCTATGAATGCTATTTCACATTTAACAACAATTGAGGTTTGGCATGTATTTTTTAGAAGCCTGGTCCTTTCCAGGGTATTTTATCTAAAAAATCAACATATTTCCAATATATTGCCAATTTTCTATTAATCATCATCCTCATCCTCATCATCATCTTGATTTTTGTAATCGTAGTGGGGATCTGAATGCAGAAGCCACACTAAATCTCCTCCACAATGGTTTATCAATAGTAGCCGTCAGTAATTCTGGTAAAAGAATTTATTAATTAATTCTCTATTAATATATTTTCACAAAACTATATTACATGTCCTTGTAGATAATCTAAACAAAGTCGAACATATGATAGAATTCACTTACAAAACAGAAGCAAATAACACTTTACCTTTCCTAAATATCATGTTACACTCTGCTAACAATCACCTAAAACTGTCCATTGCAAATCAACTAATAAAAAATGATCAAATAAATTTCTGTTTTCACCAAAACTATAAAATCTAAATCTGGAATAATTAACAGATTCTATTTAAGAGTATGAAAAATTTGTAGCCCTCAATATTTATTAGTGGATAAATATATTGAAAATACTTTTAAGTTACTCCAATGCCCTAATTATTTTATATTCAACTTGAAACAAAAAGGCTCATAATATATTTCAAAATAGAAGAATGGACCATTCTCACAAACTGAACAAATCATATATATATATATATATATATATATATATATATATATATATATATATATATATATATATATATATATATATAAAAATTCAAACACTAATATTCCATGGTTATAATTTGTCCTACAAATTCAAAAAGAAATTGGATTTTCCGATTTCTTTTTGAATTTGTAGGTCTAATGAATTGGATTATGATTATGATTATTATATAATTATTATATAATTATATATATATATATATATATATATATATATATATATATGTATGTATGTGTGTGTTGCATCTTTGTATGACTTATGTTTGTGTACTTCAGTTTTGTATATACATGTTTTCATTTCTTTAGGTTATGCTATTCATTCATTATCCCATCTTAAGGTGTTGATATAGAATGGAATGTCTATAGTGAACATTGGAGAGTGGAGAAGACAAACATAATTTCTCTCTTCTAAGGACCCTATTAACTTCTTTAAAATTAAAATATTAATAAAATTTTCTTGTTATAAAATTTACTAAAAAATGTAAAATGTCATTTGGACTTCTATATAATGAACATTAAAACACCAGTACTCATCCAATCACCAGTTAAGCAATGATGGGTGACCACTTTAGAATTCCAGGGGCTGTAATCTTGGATGTGTGGGTGGCATGATGGATAACCCTTGGGAAAGGTATGAATTCATCTTTTCTCCCCTAGCTATGGGTTAAATTTCAGAACAAACTGGATTTTATAACCTTGATAGAAACCAGTCTATTCCAGGAATTCTTCTACCAAGTCAATCATAACTCAAAAAGAAACATGATCACCCAAGTGTGTATTATGTATAATGGCTAAAGAAGGAATGATATATACTGAATAAGTTTTGTGCCTTTGAATTAAATTATGGTACACATTTTCAAAACCTCTAAAGTAGGGACCTCCACTAAATTTTCAATACCTAAGGTTTAAAATGAATTTTTAAAGGTGAAAAAGCATTTTTGAAGCTTTCTTTTTAGCTTTAATTGAAAGCTAAATGATTAAATTTACTATTTCCATTAAGCAAAATACTCTCGTGTAGGTATCTCCACTAATTTTCTAAAAAAGAGCATACCTTGATGAGAAAAGGTCCCAAACCTGAAAACAATTTTTTATCGTCTAAATGTTTATGTTATTATTAAGAGGAAAGACCAAAGTATTTTTTGATTATTTTTTTTACATTTTTTTAATCCTTCCTAGTATGTTTGAAATTTTAGTTAAAAATTTTGTTTTTTTTAGTAAGCAAAATTGCCATAAAATCGGTGATGTCTGCCATTTCTGAGAAATTCGTAAACAAAAACTAAATTCTTTGTTTAAAAATCTTGTAAAAATCAATTATACCTTTTTCAAAAGTTATTTGAGGAAAATTAGAAAATTTAAATTGTAACTGGAAGCAAACATTAATTTTTTTTATCAGAAAAAATTTAGTTGAATATAAGAGAAATATGTCTTACCATAGTGACTTGTTTTGGAGGTGTGAACTGATGTTTACGTTGATGTATCAAGAGTTTACGTTATGGGAAGTTATCGCATGGAAGGACAGAAATGTCAATATTTATGAATTTTAAGTGAACTATATATCTAACTACATACAGTAATTTTTAAAAATTAAATATTTTCAAAAGTCTAATATTTTATTGATTTTTTTAGCATTATAGACTTACATTTAAAGAGAATTTCTGGAAAAATAAAATTAAATACATTCAAAAATTTAATATGTTATTGATTTTTTTAGGTACATTTTTTAACGAATATATATCCAAAGCCTGCACTGTTTCCATCCTTAAAATTGAAACTAAAAAAGAAAATAATTAATAATTGCAATATATCTCTCACTGAAAAACAATAAATTAATTATATTTAAAAAATCAAATTAAAATAAATTAGTGAAATAGGATGTAAAAAAAATAAAATTTTTAAAAATGCGACGATAATGGTCAAACAAAGAAAGTCAGTCAGTCAGAGAATTCAACACGTGCTCACTAAACAAAAACAAAATTTTCTGAGGTCGGGTTCTTGCTGTCAGGGGAAACAACATGAAAACACGTGACATTATGTCAAGCATGTACATCCATATATTTGGAAAAAATGTTTTTATGTAGACTCAAAAACAGTATAAAATTCTTTTTAAAATACATGTGTGTCGCAGATATAGCTTTCAAATTTATGATCTGTAAACACAGATCTACTTAATAGTATCTTTCCCTAAAGGGGATGGATTGAAACATAATTTTTAAATATTTAACAACTTTATCAAATTTTGTATTTAAAATTGAAAAAAAAGAAAACAATTCTTGTAAAAATTCATTTTTCATTGGAAAAATATTCAAACAATATTGTTGTTAACATATATTATTCATAAAAGCCATTAAAAGCTTTTCTAATTAAATAAAGTTTTAGTTTTATTGGGTTTTGTATCTTACAATACAGAGGTGAATTTTGAGTATCGGTGTATTTCGATTTTCCTTCCAAAAAATCAATGATTTATGTTCTCCACAGTCTTCTGCTTTTAACTAATATAATCATTAAAAGGCACACTATTGAATTTCTTGAGTTTTCATAAAATTAAGTAGGGGGGTAGCAGATATAAAAAAATATTTTTACCATGACATTCTAAAAAAATGTGTCTAAAATAATTTCATTCATTTGGGAATAAGTTCTGAAAGTTTCATTAAAATCCAATAATTATTTGATTTTTTGCAAGAATTTCCAAATTAGTGAGTTTTTCACCCGAAAAAAAGGCACTAAAGCACTAATCGTAAATATTATGTAGACCTCTGATGTAAAAGAAAATAAAACAAGATTTTTAACCAAAATTTCAAACATTGTTAGAAAAGATTAAAAAATTTAATAAAATAATAAAAAACTACTTTGGTCTTTCCTCCTAATAATAACATAAACATTTTGATAATAAAACTGTTTTTATTAAGTTTGGAGCCTTTCTTCATCATGCTATGCTGTTTTTTTTCAGTAAGCAAGTGGAGGTACCTACTTTAAGGTATATCCTTCTGAGCTATTTTTCAAAGAGAAAACAAGTTCATTGTAAAATTAAATGGTGTCAATTGTTATATCATTGAAAGCATAAATTTACAATGGCTGTAAACCTGTTGTACTTCCAGTTTCATCAATTCTAAAAATAGAGCTAAAAAACATCTAAGTATTTGTATTTATCATAGAACCATGCTCTTTCTAACAAATTCAAATCCAGGTACTATTTTCTTACCTTTTTTGAAGCCTCCACTTAACTGCATTTAAATGAACTCTCATGTGATAAGAATATAGAGGTTTTATCATGAACACATCCAACTTCCTAATTTTCAGAGCCTGTTTGAGTCCATCAGCTCACAAAAAAATCAAAATGCGATCAGATAAATTCAGAAAACAGGACCCATGAAGTGGACACATGACAGAGAGATGAAATAACCTCCCATTCATTTCTTCTGTTGGGTTAATACATTCCTTTTGACACCACTGTTTGTAAGTAGCAACATTAAGAGCTTTGTTCATTTATAGCTTCTGTTGTACATAAAGAATATGATCTCATAAAAATGCATATTTATTCTAAAGAAGAGATTTCTCCTAAATTTCACTCACAGGTATTTGAACAAAAACTGTGCTATTATGAATTCTGAGTTCTAGGCCACTGAAGAAAAAGGTCTGAGAATGGCAAACCCAAAATTGAATTTTATCACAGTAGACCTATTAAATATGTTGAAAATATTTTGCATTGTGATATAAAGTAAATATTCAGAAAACTTTCTAGAAATACCACAAGAGAAAATAGCCGACTTTTTAAAAGAGTAGAAAATTAACAGCTTTTGATGACAAACCCAGAAAATTTCAATTGCTATAATCAAATATTCTTGAATTATTTAGATAAATGGATAAAGTCTCTTGGTTGAGAATATAGATATCTATTTTTGTTATCTCTCTGTCATAGAAAATGAATACAAAAATAAAATGTGACAAATCTTATGCACAAAAAATACTTTTTGACAATATGTCACTTCAAGGATTTCAGAATGGAAGTATTTTCATCCCTTATGCATGTGAGTAGATTTGATAAGAAACTTGATTAAGAGATACAAAATAAGAAAAGTAGGCAGAGGCATTGGTTTTCATTTAGTAGACATATGTAGGTATGAGAAAGCAGCCAAAATTTACTGACAAGGAAATAAAAGTGGTAATGGTGAAATTATCTGTTTTTGTGCAAGTAAACATTCAACATTCATTGACCACAAAATTAGTATTACTGTCAGTTGAAATTTATAAAATCTTTTTATTACAATAATTTTCCAGGTAAATGTTATAGCTCTTTCTAGTATTGATAAGATTTTTCTTTCAAACCATTTCTTTACAGTAATATGAAAAATGAACAACTTGATATCATTATTTTCCCTTCTAGTCATATGTTACCCATTTTTTTTGTTGTTGGAAGTATTTAAGGGATGAAGTGAAAGAGACAGAAATGATACATTATTGATGATTACAATTGAAAATGAATATCTATTGATATTTATAAAGCTAAAATTAATTTGTGACAAGAACAAGTGAAAATTCCAATTTATTAAGATGATTTTTACATTTTATTTGATGCTTTTTATAACTTAATATATTGAAAGAGACAGAAAATATTGTCAAACAAATTGTGTAATTTAATGAGGTTTTTCAACTTTATTTGCACAGTCCTCTGAGATTATTGTCAATATTATTGATGTGGTTAATAAGTTTCCAGAAACAATTTTAATATAAAATATATATTAAAAAAATAAGCATAACTATTTTAAATGTAAAAAAAAAAATTTTTAGAATAGAATATATAGGAATAAAGGTATTCTTTAATAACAGGAGCAGAAATATAAAATATCTATTGTATTGTAATTAGCATAATTACTTTTGATATCTGAGACAATAAAAGGTTAAAACATTTAACTTTTAAGCAATTCACATGATAGAAAATGAAAAGGTAATATATTTCAAGAGTAAAGACAGTATAAAAGAAAAGAGTGCAAATTTTCTCTCTTCTTTCATTTTTTTACACACAGGGTCATAGGGTCAAGATATTTCTTATTTTCCACATCTCACATTAAGTGATACATCAGATGAATGCCCTAAGCTGGTAACTTGAAAAAAACAACAGATAAAAAGAATTATTTTCAAACATAATTCCCTCAACAACAGCTTCTATAAGACTTTACACAAACCATATGTATAAACGAAGACACCTTCGTTTATCTATTTTTGTATTTTTTCTGTTTAGTTTGCAAGGATAATGAAGTTTTGTTAATTGAACAATAATGTTTGTAATTTCTTTCTATCTTCTGTTCAAGAAAACCACCATGCATTCACAAGACTAACACTATAACACAATATTAGGGCTTTAAAAACCTGTTGACCATGTATAGCTCCAGTTGTATGGTTTACACAAGACCTACAAGAACAATGTTCCATTAAGGGTTATTCTATCTATGATGGGCTCAGTGTAGCACAGATTGACCAAATGGTTGGCCAACATATTACAACTGTTACTTCAGATCTATTCCTTTCATTGTATAAAGGATCCATTCACTTTTGCTGCAATTATACAAAACTGTTCATTTGACTCTAACAATAAATTTATGTATTCTTTTAACATCAACAATCTTTTTACATGTCTCATTAATGGAAACTTTTGAAATCTGTGCAGATGCCGTGTATCAGAGTCATTTGTCCCCAAAGGCTCTTTTAATAGATTTTATAGAATTTGAAAGCTCATATTGCAATTTTTCATTGTTATTATTGCTTTTCTTTGGCACTCTTTATTACTGGTTCCCATATTGTATTCATTTCTATGGTTGGTCAGCTCAGGAAATTTTTGTGGCCTAGCTGCAGAAAGAGATATAAAGAGGAGACAGGCCGTCCCCTTATGGTAAGGCTTCAAGAATACCAAAAAGCTGTAACATGAGGGGAAGTGGAAAAATCAGGTGTTGCTGACCACATATGGAGAGAAAAAGGAAATCACTGTTCTCTGTGAGATCAAGTTGAAATCATTGACAAAGAACATCATTGGAAAATTTGCAAACTTAAGGAATCAGCAAAAATCTCCTGAGCTGACCAAGCATAGAAATGAATACAATATGGGAACCAGTAATAAGGAGTGCCAGAGAAAAGCAATAATAACAATGAAAAACTGCAATATGAGCTCTGTTAAAAATATGCAATGATAACAGCAAAAATTGCAATATGAGCACTGGTAAAAAAATGGTTTCTGAAGACATTAGGTACCATAATTCCCAGAAATTCATACACAGATATCCTCAAGGACACGTGGCACAGTGGATAAAGGTGTTAGATCCAGTGACAGGACCCAAAGAGTGTGATTTTAATACCTAGTTAAGGCGGTGGAGAACTTGGAGAGGGGAATTAACAAGAGATAACTGACATCCATTAGACATGGCATGTGGAATTAGAACAGTCTACTCCAGTGAGCTAAATAAAGGTTTCAGTCTGACATTCCAACCACCTGAAGAAGACTGGAGTGTACAATGGCTGAAATGTGATAAATATGGTAACAAAGATGAGGATGATAGTCCAAACAATGTAAATAGTGTACGTAATACCTCATTTCAGAAATATAGACAGAAACTTGTTTTGTGTCTTTGACAATGAGGAGCAGTTTGAGGTTTTTCATGGATGATTGAATAAATTGTATCCAACATTAGTATTTATATGTGAAAAAGAAAACAATACAGTTTTACCTTTTCTTGATGTACTGGTACACAGGTTAGACTTGGTTTTTCTGATTTTTGTGTACTGAATGCTACTTTTATTGGTAAATCACTGGGTCTTTTTTTTGTTTCAAACAACAAGAGTTTAATTTGATTAAGACTTTGGTTCATTGAGCCCTAATTATTTGTTTTAAAACAAAATTAAATTCTGAAATTGAGTTTAATATGAAAGTTTTAGTTGAAAATGTTTACCCTCTGAATATTATGCAATCTAGGATTTGGGCTCAAACTGAACAATTTAATAAGCCCTAATTCTATAATTCAGAAACATGTCCCATCTATTTGTGATCACTGCGGATTAGTGAAGTTAGCACTAGATTTGCTAAGCAAATCTCTCTGTGTACAGCTTTTGTTATTTTTCTCCCAATTCACACCTGGTTTTCACTTCCCAACCTATACTGAAATCCATTTGTAAAGATGTTTTGCACCCTCCCATCATGTGTGTTCCATGGTCTAAAATTACAAATGTCAGTCTGATGCTGAATATATGGGAGTTGGTTCTCTCTGTGTTGTGTCAAAAAGTTTTTCTTGCCCAAGATCATCCTTCAAATCTATAAATCAACCATTTGCCTTTGCATGGAATATTGCTGTCATATATGGTCTGGAGCCCTCACTGTTTGTCTTAAGGTTCTCAACAAAATCCAGAGATGGATATGCATTGTGGTTGACCCTCTTCTGGCATATCGTTTGCAGTTGCTCTATCACAGACATATCGTCACCTCCCTCTGTCTTTTCTACAAATACTTTCACAGTAACTGCTCTGATGAGCTACTTTCACTAGTTCCCAAACTGCATAAATTTAAACATGCCACTAGGTCAGCATCTCAGTCCCACTCTTTCACAATTAAATGTAACCGTCTCTTCTACTCCAATAGCTTCATGTCTCGCACTTCCTGTCTGTGTAACTCCCTTCCTCTTACTTGCTTCCCTGATAACTATAATCTCCAAGTATTCAAATGCATATTTCCAGATGTCTTGATCTATTCTCTATCCTTCTCTTCATCTTTTCCTCTTTCCTGTCTCTTTATTCTTGCTTCCACTCTTTGTAATCCCTTGCGTGCTAGTGGTACTCCCGCTTGGCTTGGGGTGAAAAGCTTAAAAAACCCCAACTAATCAGAGACTTGGATTGATGAACATGCACAGCTATGATCTGTTGAGGGCAGTATGAAGTTCTGTAGAACTAGAAGTATTAACAAGCATTTACTTGTTAATACTTCCAGTTCTGCAGAATACTTAATAAATAATCCAACTTGTGTTTTACTTTTCATTAGAAATTTTTTTCACCATAATCAGATGAGCAGATTCAGATTACCATCTGAGAATTCTTCAAACCATTTATATTAAATCTAAGCAGCCTTCTCTCTAAGTAGAAGAAATGGCTACTGCGTTTATCTGTAATCTGTCTGTGATTTATATTCCTGATTATTTGGTATTTTTTTTGTCTTTTATTTCTTTTTTTTAGTAATTATACACATATGTATATATATTTTGTCCATGATT